TTCTTATAATATAAATTAATTTTAAGGAAAACTAATGAAAAAAGTTTGAAAATTTTAAGTTTTAATGAAAATGACAAAATAAATAGTAAAATGAACCAAAATTAATTTTTTTAATATAAAAATATGATTTTTCGTTAAAATAAACAGTACGAGTTTTTCATTAAAATTCTTTTAATTTTATGATAAAACCTCAATCGTAATTTTTTTTTTAAGCACATGATATACATGAATATGTTACTCATGCTTTCAAATGTTGGAAGAATATGAGGACCCCGTTCTTATCCCACCATCATTATTTTATCCACGAAAACAATGAAAAAGAGAGGGTAATGCAACTTAGGATTCGATGCGAATGATTTAAGTTTGTACATATAAAATAATTTTTTGTAAAGACTTAATAATATGCTTAAGGTCAGGGTTTACTGGACCTGAAAGTAAACAGTCAAACTGTCAAACATGTAAAATAATCAATCTGACAAAAGAAAGATAAAAATTCAAGCAATTGCTGTAAAAGTTAACAAAACAAGAACTTCAGCCGTTGGTATTATTCCATTGATCGGTCATGTCTCGTTCACACTCACTCAAACGTGTGATAAATTACACGAAAGTTTGTACATTATATTTATAGTGTTTCTATGTTCGGTTAAAAATGCAGATATGTCTTTGATAAGGATTAAATATTTGTTGTTATTGTTCACATGATGAATTTAAAATTGTTACTGTCGATATATTATCTACAAAAAATATTTAACCGTTACATAAAATAACTCTATATATAAATTTATCATGAACCATATTTGAGAATGTAAAGATCAAACACAAACCATCGAGTGTATGAAGCCCTAATAAATTTTCTTTACGACTTGACCTACAAACCCAATGCACAAATCACTACTCTTGCACTATGCTTCTCATTGATCTCAAAATCTTATTAACTAGGTTCAGAAACGCTCAGGACACCAGAATGCCCGGGTATTAGGGTCCATAATAGAGGTCAGAAAGTACACTTAGATTTGATACTGCACAAATCTTACCGTGCCCAAGTAGCCAAGTGATCAGAGATTCAGAATTCTTTCTCAGATCTCAGGGAGAGGCAGGGAAATAGGGTTTACAATGCATGAAAAAACAGTAAAAATGCGTTAAAGAAAACAACGATAATAATAATAGGTCTTTGGCTTTTGGATTTTGTCTTTTGGCCTTTTTACTTCCAAGTAAATATAACCGCGGGGCTTAGAATCACAGAGAGACTCAGAGGACATATACATGTATATAAGATCCAGGTACCCCATGATGGAAGGAGAGGCCATGTGCAGCTTTGCATGATCTTCGACTTTTTCTTCTTTCTTTTTCTTCTTTCTTTTTTCTGTATAAACCGATTGCTGACCAGGGCCACCACGTGATCGACTATGCCCTAGCTCCTCTCTCTCTCTCTCTCTCTCTCTCTCTCTCTCTGGTCTTCGTCTTTACAAATATGCACATTGACTTGCATGCTTTCTTCAATTCAAAGCCCTAAAACACTAAAGAGCTCCCATCAAACAAAAACAAACAAACGCTAGATGATTTGATTTTCTGACATGTGGATTTTGGTGTCAACCCCAAAAATAAGAAACTTGGTTATGACATGGATTTTTGGATGTCATCAACTTTCTACTTTGTAGTAATACTTGCAGAGAGAGATAAGATCTGAGTTTAACATTAATTAGGCAATAGATTTTTCCATCAACAAGAGGAAAATCAGAGCATCTAATGAATCGTTAACATGATTTTTTTCTATTGCTCGATCTACAAGACGAGATCTAGAAGGAGCGAAAAGAGAATGATGAGAATCATAATAGGGCACTCATGAGACGGGACGTAAATAAGAAAAACTTGCATACGATATTATATACAAGTAAAATTCTAAAAAATGCTAGGTGCTAGTCGGACGGTGAGCTGAGACCTAGCACCTGGGCGGGTTTCTAGGCAGACTAAGCGGATTTAAGTAATCTATTATATTTCGTGTAAATAAGTGTTTATTTATACTTAAAATATATATCATTTCATCATACACTACAAAATAAAGTGACATATATATTATGAAGTATTGGAACATAATGAAAACATGGAGAACACGCATATAATGTGGGCTCATTTAAGTATTTAACAAGTTTCTTACAATTTATTGAAAAAAAAAACAAAATGCAAAATGAAAGTTATCTATTTTCTGTCTAAGGGAGTCGCAACCTAAGCGAGTCTGAGCGGGCTAGGCAAGTGCCTAGGTAGTCTAGGGGTTCAAACGTTTAGGCATTAATCAGGGCGATGGCCAGCCGCCTAGCGCCTAGGCGGCGCTAAGCGAGGATTTTTAGAACAGTACACAACACTTGTTGAAATTTGTATGTAGTGGTGCATGCAAGTCTTTCGTGAGCTAATTAAATATTTTAGATATTGACGTTAATAACTATTTTCTTTCTAGCTCTCTCTTCTACAGGATTGTAATTATCATTTAGTCATTTACTATCAAGAGTGTGTAACAACATTAAGTGGTGTTATCTACACATTTCTGTTTATCTTCCACACATTTATCTTAATTTCTGTCCGTCAAATTGAATGAATTAAAGAATTAATATAAAAAAATAAAAATTAATATAAAGATAGTTCTCAAATAATTCAAATAATTAACTTACTTTTTTGTGCTAACATTATAAAATTACAGATTCAGATCTTTGATCGTTGACAGTTTGGTTGATAGGTGGGACCTATGCAAAGAATATAATACCAACCGAGGCTGGCCACTTGTGTCCTTTCAGTCAAATTATTTCTCTGCTCTCTGACAAAGACTGGATTGAGATGCCACTGCCTCACTGCGTCACTTCCTACACTTGCTTTAATCATTTTTCTCTTAATCATGGTGGTTAGTGATCTACTTAAGTTAACCTTGCTTTTACGCTCAACTGAAGGACAGTAGTTTCTCCCTAATCTCATAAACACATTCAGATATAACTAACACAGATTCTCTACAAAGCATATGAACACGTTGTAGTCATTGAATTGTTGAGTTCACTTGTAGGTCGAGTTTACTAAATATGAAGGTAAACGTTTCGCATACTCTATACTCTTTACAAACGTTATAAGCTTGTATGATATACTATAAATTCTAAACTCTCTCAATTAAAGTTTATTTGTTAAATGAAATTCGCACGGTCAACCAATGAACTTTCATTTTATACCCAAAAAGAAATATTAACTTTAATAATTTAATTGTGATTTAGATGTGCTCAAGAAATAATGTATGAAACCAAACCTTTTTATTTTAATAAGAATGATAAACGATTAAACCAATCAAATTACTCTTTAAGTTTGGTCATCAACTATAAAATTATGATCCTCTAGCACGCATAAAACTGTAAAAATGAACCAAGACTTGGAATTTAGCAACCTCCCAATTTGGTCATCTAAACCAAATTAAAAAGGTTCACATTGGCTTTCTGTCATGTGGATGATACATTTTTTATACATTAAAAAGTACCACAAAACCATTCAAAAATTTGGCATTGCATGCAACTTTTAATTTAATTTATCTTTTTTTTTTTACTTTTTAAAAGTGAGATAACACCTCCCTCTCACCCCTCCATATATACACGCATCAAAACTCACTTCCATCACCACATCATTCGCTGTAATCATTTTCAACTCACTAACTCCAAATTTCCAAAAAAAAAACTCCATATTTTCACAATGTGGGTTATTTCTTGGCCCAAAACCACTTGCCCCACCAAGACCGGTGGCCGAGAAGGTGGCACCACCACAGCCACCGCCGCCGCTGCAGCTACCAGTTGGTGTATCAATGTTTCATCATCCCACTGCACTTGTCTAACCAAACTGGTGACGAAGCTAAGGAAACATAGGAGAAGGGTAAGGGCTGCAGCTAGTAGGCGACGTTCACTGCAGTGCCACTATGATCCACTGAGCTATTCTCTCAACTTTGATGCCAGTGGATGTGGGAACTTGTTGGATGACCAAGATTACTTCAAGTTCTGTGCATTTTCCTCCAGGTTTGTGGCCAACCCTTCAGGAAACTCAGCTTCTACTCCAAGGCTAATCACCACCACTCCTCACTAGAATTATATATATATATATATATATTGAGTTTGTAATCTTTGACTTGGATGTAATGGGTATTTTGTATATTGGATGAGGCTGGCATCTGAGATTTCTTGAGAGAGAGAGAGAGAGAGAGAGAGAGAGGGGTAGTTGATGATGATGGGGTAGCTAGCTAAGCTTATACATTTTTGTACTAGTAGTTAATTATTGTGCTGACTAGTAGATAATGGTTTGATGATCAATTTTCACCTTCTTATTTTTTCTTCTTTTTATTTTCTTTGATTTGTGATTTTTTTTTGTTTTTGGTGATATTTTGCTGATGTCAAGTCAGTTCAGAAAATAAGATTTGCAAGGACAAAGATAGCAAAATTCCAAATTAAATTTGTATCCTCGTCGTCCCATTGCTAGGTTCACATGAAAATTTTGATCCCCAAGCAAAACAAATGACCGAATTTGTGAGTACTTTTGCTTTCTCACCAGTTAGTAGATGGGGGATCCCTACCACCATAGAAGTTTTGGAAATCAGAAAAGAACTAACAGATAAAATAGATGGATGAGTGCAAAATGTTCAAAAAGGAAGTTACGGAAATCACTTTTCTTTCCACAATCGGTCATGATAAAAGAAGAAAAATGATAACCACGCATCGTTTTTCCTTTATGCACGCTCTTGTGTAATCTTATTCGTTGTTTTCGTTTAATTTATTCTAGTAAATTACCAAAAATAAAAAAATGTATGAGACGATAAAAAAATAGTATAGTTAGATCGAATTTCTTCTGATGAGCCTTTACCACTTAACCAATCAAATCTTTAGCAATCAAAAGCAGTGGAGATTTGGTTGCACAAAGCAGCAACTCCTCTCATTCAACTGTAGACAAATCAACAGTTGACAAGACCGCCAAATGGAAGCGGCCACCAGAGATTTCAAAGTCCAAAACCAGCCATTTTTTTCAGTAATCAGACCTCATTGATGAGACCACAAGGAGGAAGAAAGCTCCATGGTTGGATACATACATTGCAAAAGAAGGCAACAACACTATACTTTCATTCTCTTACATGAGCTTTACACAATTATCCTAAAACAACCCTATATCCGGCTAGTTTATCTTGCACTACAAGAGACCTACAAAATTTTAAGCACGACGGAGCCTTGAATAGCACGAAAGAATATTTATGTTCTAATCTTCGCTCCGCATATTACAGCTATGATTCCCGATCACTCATGGGATGATCCGAGACGGTGCCCTCAGAAGAAATTTCCTCTACATCGGGTCGTTCTGTCCTAGAGGGATCTGACTCTGTCTTGCTAGAATCCGCACTTTGAGTACCACATGTTCTAACAGGCGAGCCCTGCTTGGCCTCCGTTCTTACCACTGCAGTCGCAGTTTGAGAGTCCAAGAGTTCTACTTGGTCAACAGAGTTCGGCAATGAGGGTTTTGTGTCACGGACGCTTGAGCTTGCCATGCCGGAAGCTGCTGACAGGTGTGAACCTGGAGCAACACAGGATGCTACCAATTGAAGCACTTCAGGGGAAGGCGACAATCCCATGGTTGTTTTCTTGTGCTGATTCAGATGTGGCGCTGCAGATGATGGGTTTACCACATTTAAACTCAGAGGCTCACCGAGGTCGGATTCAATCCGTGAAAAGCCTGAAGTTGCAGCCATTGCTTGTGAAAGAAATGGAAATGATGGGGCCATAGGAATGGAGCTTGAAGCATTGCCACCAAAGTGCCTGCTCTGAAAGTCCTGGCTGCTTCCAGCGTCTAGTTGAACCCGCCTGAATAGACGTGATTTAAGCTTTCTTTTCTTCTTTAGACTCCGTCTTGGATCCTTTGGTAGCGAAGGAGGTGGGCCGGGAATCACAAATGGAGGAATCGTTCGCTTATCCTCCCCATATAACAACCGGACGGATTGAGCTATTGCCATCACTGTGGGTGGCAGATCAGGTACTGGGGGTTTAGCAGGAGCACTTACAGCTTCCCGTAGCCAATGGGGTAGCGTGTTCTTCGAAGAACTACTTCCAGCAACATCATCTCCCTTTAAGATTCCTCTCTTGAGATTAGGCAGCAATCCTGAACTGGAGGGTTCACCTCTTGCCAAATTATTATTCATATCACGTACAGCATTCAGTGATCTATCAAGCAGACTAGGCAACTTCCCGTACCTAGGGGCACCCTGTTCATCTTCATTCTTCTGCACATCATAGCTGCTTGAGGAATTCAAGCCTCCTAACGAACCCAAGCAACTGGTACCAAAAGAAGTGACAACAAATGGCTGCTCAGCAGGAACACTGGAAGATGTCCCTGCTCTGTCAGAAGCTACAGCAGCAGAATCTCCGGAAAAATTAGTCCTGAATTTATCATGAAACCAAGATGGAATAGGGGGATATTGCTCATTTTGCAAACCGAGTCTATCTGATGATTCAAAATGTGGAAAGCCAGTTGAAAGATCAGTAAAACCCAGCTTTATATCTGTCAAATGGGATTGAAACTTTGGTGGTGTAACAAGTCTACTACTATGCAGTGCCCGTGCCATCATTCCATCAGATATGCTTGGAAACTGTAAGGATTTAGCAGCCTTTTTGGTTGACTTAGACACTGCAAAAGCTGACCCGTCTAAAATCTTGAGTTGTTCCTCCTCCCACCTAGCTGACAAATCTTCCGAAGTTTTAAACGTTGAGAACTTCAACCTTGGGTCTCTCAGCATTGCATCCCAATTGCCCCTTCCATGCCTACGAACACCAATCCATAGATAATCAAGTTCATCTTCCGTCCAGATATCTGCTTTAAATTTATTTTTAAATAAGTTGCTTGATCCAGGACCAGTCCTCATCATTATGTTTTCGAGCACCTTCCGGTGGTTATCAGGTAAAGACGGAAAATTAGTTGGCATGTGCCCCAAACCAAATGAGGGAGGCACATCTCTGTCTTGCTGATTATATCTGGGTGCATCTGGTGGCAACTGTAAATTTGGAAACAATGACATTGTTGGAAGTTCTTGCAAGGATCCACCAGCAGATTCAAGTCTGCTACCTAATGATAGATTAGATAAGAAGTCCAGATGTGGACTCGGCATGCTCTTTGCTCCAAGTGGGAATCTTGGTAGCAATTTCTCATCGAATGGTAAGTTAGGCAATGCCATCTTTTCTTGGAAATCAGAAAAGGAAGCACTGGAACTTTCTGGACGATCATGATTATTCCCTTGAAAAGTCGGAGGATACTGCAAACAGACCAAGCATTGTGGTCATGCATCAACAAATTTTCACACACACGCACAGAGACAGAGACATAGACACAGAGAGAGAGAGAGAGAGAGAGAGAGAGAGAGAGAGAGATAGAGAGAGAGAGAGAGAGAGACAGAGATACAGAGAATATGTACCGGCCTAAATGGGAAACCACCATTTGGGATGCTATTCAACTTATTCTTGAGATGTGATACTTCAGCTGGTGCATCTGATAGTTTCGTGTCATCACCATTTACTTCTGTCTCGTTCAAAGTCCCAGACTGAGGAGCCAGACTAAATGGAAACTCTGGCCGACCTCCTTTTTGTCTGCCGTTTGACCTTGAGAATTTCTTATTTGATGATACTATTTGACTAGCATTGGGAGCACAGAGTCCCAGAACAGGTAATAAATTATTTGAGGGCAGTAAGCTTGTTCCCAGAACCTGGTGATTGGGAAGGAACATGTCAGGTGACATGTAGTCAAGAGAATTAACAGAAAGACCAAGGTGACTGTTTTTATGCTTCAATAGCCGGCCCAATCGTGAGGGAGAATCAGTCTTGGCCTTGGGAGCATCTAACTTATCGTTCTCCAAGTCAATTACTGAAGGTCTCTCTCTGAAAAACTGAACTAATTCAGTTGCTTGATCGCCATCTTTGGAAGTGTTGGTGGGACCCTGAGGAAGTGACTCAGGCGGTCCTTCACTAGGTTGAGGTTCTTCAACTGCATTCCTCTGAGCAAGCCGCTCTTTTTGTCTAGCTCGGAGCTTAGCACTGTTGAGTAAAAAATAAAAGTAATTAACGAGATCCGCAATCCACCAAATAGTTCATAGAGATTAAGTTCAGATTTGATAATCCATATATTAAGGCTCCAGTTCTAAAATCATCTAAACTATCAAAGCCTGACCCACGTAGCAAAGGATGCTTGACTCAAATGAATAGCGCATCTTTCGAAAATGTGAAAGTTACACATGTATATCCCTTTCACAGAACACAACTAGGTACACTGCAAAGCTGCTGAACTAAAGCAATTACGGTAGCACTACTAGGAACTACTAGAAGGAAATCTGAACTTACAACTTGTCCCTTAAAGCTCGTCCAGCAGGTGTGTACTCCCTCTCTGGCTCTGGTTCGGGCTCATGCTCCTCGTCAGCACCCTGCTTACATGCAACCAATTAGACCATTGCAAATAAGAAACTTAACCCAAAATAACTATGCGGTAAATAATTTGCCCAGATGGTCCAAGTGTATCTACTGTTGAAAAAACAAAACAAAGGTTTTTTCTTAGCAACATTTTCAGCAGCAATGTGAAAGTGCAGATACAAAAGAAAGGTAGAGTAGAAGAAGCAACATGCTTCAATCAAGCATATATCTAACTTTGTGTACCTCACTTAATGTTTCAGTTGGGTGTGCACCATATGCTTCCCTGTAAGAAACAGCTTTCCGCAGGCGCTTCCCACGACCAAGAGCCGCTTCTTCCTCACTTTGATATTTCTCCCATCTACAAATCCAACAAAATGCAAATAAGTCCTTAATAAATCAAGAAAATGGGAGATGGAAAGCACTTGGTACACAGGAAACCTCATCAGAAACATTCAAGTTTGGATGCAGAATATCAATTAGCAGATTAAGCTGTGATAACACATGGAACAGTGAACATGGGTTACAGAAGAATTTGTTACCTAAGACGCAAAAGTCTGTCCCATTCATTTTCTTCCGTAACCATGCTATCCTCTTTCCTTTCAGTATTTGGTACCCCAGTATCATCACTTGCACCTGGAGATGATTCAACTCCCTGCTCTTCAGCAGGCTCCTCATTCCATTCGATGGCCTGGTTAAAATATAAGTTGGAAACTTTATGAGATAAACGACACAGACGAAAATCGAATTTCCGAATCTGCTGACCATCAGTCTTTATGGTAATTTTCAATAAAGATAAAAAACAGCATAAAGTAGGATAACAAGACCAATATGCATGCAACAAAAATGAAAACAATGAACTTAAACTTCTAATCGAAAAAAAGCTTAATAAATGCATTAGATAAATTCAACATGTAGTTTACCTTTACTGAGCCAAGCATATCATTTTCCATTTCTCCTTCAGCAATATCACTTGAACCAGACTGAAGGTCTGAACGGTCAAGTAACTTTGAAATTGCACTTTCATCCCATACAATCTTGTTGCTGCTATCTGTACATTTATCTGTATACACATCCCCCAAGCCACCAGTCCGCTTCCTATGCTTATGCTCAACATCTGTCACTGCCTCATCTTTGTTACTGTTATTTTCATCGGTATCTTTTCCATCAGTAATTGGAGAATCATTAAAAAGCTCCTCAGTTCCCCATTTTATAATATCCTCCACTTCTTTTTGGGATCCCGACTTGTTCACAAAAAGCTGATCAAGCATAAGTTTCTTCTTTGCAAGCTGCAAGATGCGCTCTTCAACACTAGCACGAACAACAAGCCTATACACCAAAAGTCGTTTTGACTGTCCAATTCGATGTGCTCGATTCATAGCTTGAATATCAGCGTGCGGGTTGAAATCAGAATCATAGATAATGACAGTGTCTGCTGTTGCCAAATTGATACCAAGGCCACAAGAGCGTGTTGATAACAAAAAGACAAATCGGCTTTGATCTTGGTTAAAACGCGCAATTGCAGATTGACGCTCAGTCACTGAAACAGAGCCGTCTACTCTCTCATATGTTTTAGGTCCAAATTCTATAGCCAAATAATCCTCAAGGATATCTAGCAGCTTGGTCATCTGTGAAAAGATGAGGACTCTGTGACCCTCTTTGTGCAAGATCTTAAGCATAGAATGCAACAGAGTCAACTTGGCTGAAGCTTTAATTCGCATTTCATGAAGGAACTCAGCAGACCCAGAGTCCGGTTCAGTGCCTGGTATGAGATACGGATGATTGCAGACTTTCCTTAACTGCATTACTATGTTCAGCATTGACTGCTGTGCCACCCCTTTGCCAATATTCCGCAATATCTGATAATTCTTTGTCAGCATTGCGCGGTAGTATTCAGCTTGGATAGAGGACAGCTCAACAGGAACCATCCGTTCGGTCTTGGGGGGGATATTTTGCATAGCGTCCTTTTTAAGCCTCCGAAGCATATGTGGAGCAACAAGTTTTTTCAATTCATCCACTTTTTCTGCAGTTGTAAGATCATTAAACCTTTCCTCAAATGCAGATAGGGAAGGGAATGATGCCGGCTGCAAGAAGTTAAGCAAGTTATACATTTCACCGATGTTGTTCTGAAGAGGGGTACCAGTCAACAGTACGCGATGTTGGAAAGACAAGGAGTTAAGCAAGCTGAAGAGCTTACTTCCCGAATTTTTCAAACGATGACCCTCATCAACTATGAGAACTTCCCAAGGAACCCCGCGGAGATGTGAGGAATCAGCAAGAACCATTTCATATGTAGTTAAAAGAACATTAAATTTATACGCACATGTTTTCTTATTCAATGAATTTGGATCACTAGCATGCCATTCATGCTGGCGTATTATGGTTCGTGCTTTAGCACACCCATGATATTCCACGACATTCAATTCGGGTGCCCATAATGCAAACTCAGCAAGCCAATTACGCATTGTGGAAAGTGGAACCAAGACTAAACAAGGGAGAGTGGCTTTGAACTCGACGTATAATGATGAAATAAAAGCACAAGCGGACACAGTTTTACCAAGCCCCATCTCATCGGCCAGTATTACATTCTTGGATTTATGCCAGCATTTCCGCAACCAATTCAGAGCTTCAAGCTGATGAGGAAACAATATACCCTTCAGTTCCTTAGGCTGCTCTGTCAGAGTAACTATTTCACTTTGCTGACAACTAACCTTCCCCTTTGATGAATCATCCTTAGAAGCATTGTTTTCCAGTGTTTGGCGTTCAAACTGATAAAACTGATCAATCAGATTCTGGGAATTTTTAATGACAGGCTCATCCAGTCTTTCCCAAGTGCATTCATCGTAAGGGAGACCATTCCACTTTATGAAAGCTTCACCCAAACCATTTTCAACACCACGGAGACCAATCACCCGCTGTGGTTGCTTCCAACGTTCCTCACATATATTTATAACAGCAGTTCCATACTTAGCCTTGTAATTTTCTAATTTTCTCTTGGCCAAGGATTTTAGCTCAGATTCAGAAATCCAACTATTATGAATATGAGAACTACCCACCCACTTAACTAAAAATTCATACAATACCATCCCATCACTACCACCTGCAGGCTCAGCTAGTGAAGGCTCCTCAATTTTGGTTTGAGGGCTGCTGCTGATTCCAGTTTCTGTATCTACATCTTGTTTATCTTGGGTGTCAGGAGATAAATGCATTTCAATTTCAGGAACCTCATCATCATCATGACTTTTCAAACTAACTTTGATAGTCGCTGTTTTTTCAGGGTTTTTTCCTGAATCATCTGCAGTTACAGCAGATTCATCTTGATCTTTACAAATTATGGTAGCAGGACTCGAATCCTTAGCACCTGTCCTCAACAAATCCATGGAATTAGCTTTTTTACCTTCTTTGTTCACAGATCTTCTGTACACATGTAATTTGTCCACTCGAACATCATCCTTTGTGCTTTCATCCCCATCAGCACCACCGACAACATTTTCGCAAACCTCAGTGAGATTTTCATCCTTCATGCTTTCATCCCCATCAGCACCATTGACAACACTGTCCGCAGCTCCGACATCCATGTCATTATCAAAAGCAGAATTTCCATCTGATAGTCTGTTTTGAATCTCAGAAACTTGCAAATCAGCAGGACACAGGCCAGGGGCAGCTGTCACACATAACTGACGAGAAGATTGAGCATTATCACCCTGAACTCGACATCCCAAAACCCGATCAACCTGTGACATGGGCATACAGGAAACAAATTAATCTGCATGGCGACGTCAAGTAACCAAAACAAGAGAGCATATTTTCTATGTATCCAGTGATAAAAACATTCTGACATTCTAGAAAACTCATTTACCTGCAGAGGTTGAGCAGTAAAACTGTCTCTACAAATTGTTGTTTCAACTACATGACTTCCAGCTTTATCTGCATTATGTGATGAGTCTTTTGCTCCCTCAGGAAGCTCCTAAAACAAATCAATGATATTACTACGTATAACTAAACATAACAAAACAAAGGACTTATCCCAATAGAAACAGTTTATCGACATCAAGAACATGAAATTACTTGACAAAAATAACAGTGATAACAGTATAAAAAACCAGCATGATTCAGAAAACTATTAATAAGTAATCAAAAGCCTACTGACAATTCCTACATATAAACATGTGTCCAGTATAAAAATCAGAAAATTTAATGATACCTCGTCTCTGCTTTGGACATCTGACTTCTTGGTTCCAATTTCTTCTCTTGACAAAATAGCAGAAACCCCATGGTTGATAGATTTATGCTTACGAGGTGCTTTATCAATCCTCGGTTTTGTAGTATTTGCTTTAGATCCAGATTGTTTGGAAATACCAACAGACTTTCCCTTATCAGTCCTGGGCTTCTTTTTACTCTTATCATTATTTCCTTTGTGTTTTCTTTTTTTAGCCTTGTCGGTGGTAGCACTGATTGCAAGAACAATGGTCTTATGTGGAGATCCATCAGTACAAGATGGATCCGGCTTCACATCAGGAGAGGCAGATGCCTCAGGCGCTTCATCATTCGTCTCTGACAATGTAACTTTAGAATGAGATGCAACTTCTTTAGCAGGAGAGCTCGACTTTCTGTCTGTGGAATCCTCTTCTGGGACAATGCTGGATCTTTTTTCATCATCAACATTCACACATGATGAAATACCGTCTGCAGAACCACCAACTGTTGAATGAGTCGGCTTGGTGCTACATATATCTATCCGGGAGTTCTTCTCTAAGGATTTGACTCGATGGGTTAAAACAGCTTTTCCTTTGCTTGAAGATCTTTTCTTTGCAACAATAGAGTTTCCAAAAATCTGTGATACTTTCTCCCTGTCGGATGACTTCATTCCAGTTTTGGACTTAGTAGTGACAAGTTTTGTTCTTGCTCGTTTTGAGATGGTCTCTGTCAAAAAGTTTCTGGGTTCAAGCAGATTACTTTTCTGATCTCTTTTCTGACAGCAAGTTGTACATTGCCACTTCCCATTCGGAATGCGCTTCACGTGATGAATTCAACAATTAAAGATTTTACAATAAAGGGAAAAACAATAATTGCACATTAGTACAGCTAAAAAGAAAATTGATCACGCAAAACAAGCTATCGTAGTACAATCTAAATATATATCTACCTTAAGAGGTGGATTAAGACACTGGAGATGATAGGTTCGGGGACAGCTATCACAACACAACAAGTTACCGCCAAGGTCACAGACCACACACTCGTAGAAATACTGGATGAGAGAGAAATAGATTAGACAAAAATTTGCATGAAGTCAGAGAGAACTTAAGAGAAACTAATACTACATAATAGGCATAAAACATAAGTAGCTACTCATTGCCCTAATGCAAACATCGGACTGCTAATGTGCACAATATTATGTTCCATACAGACACAATAACTGCAGTATAAATGCTGTTACTGCATCTGGGACAACATGTTGTGCCAACAAACTCAAAAGGAATAAAAAACCCAAAATATATGAGCCCATTATTTATGTTTATCTAACCCTTCGGCAGACCAGGAAGTCACAGTTCAGCAACTAAACTGAACTTCTCAGTTGCATATTCTAAAATAACCGTTTCAGTCAGAAATTAACTTTGACTCTTCAGTCGATCAAGCCTCCTATGATGATCGTCCACATACCATGTACCCAGGAATCAATTTAACTGTATATACCGATCTCTAGATTTCAATTGAACAAACTCGATACTGATATTGTTGAGCTATTATTCCATTTCAAAGCTTTGTGTGTGAAAAGAGGTATAGCGTTTCAAATCACAAAGAACTTGAGTAGGCTGCAGAATAACTTTTGTATGGAGAACTAGAAACCACAGGTTAAAAATGTTTGAATCAAAACACCAGCACCACCATTGCAAACAAAGCCCATGCTAGAACGACTGAAGGGTCGTACCCAGTGCACAAGGCTCCCGCTTTACGCAGGGTCTGGGAGAGGTGAATGTCGGCTAGCCTTACCCCCATTTATGGAGAGGCTGCTCCCAAGTCTCGAACCCGAGACCTACCGCTCATGGACGAAGGCACTTGCCATCGCACTGAAGAGTAATATAAAATGAACAAAATGGAAAACAAATTCCACCCAATGATAAAGTTATTCCAATGAAGATTTGCTTTCAGGTTAAAGAAATCGGTTGAGTAATTAATCAATTATGCAAAAACTAACCCCGTCATTTCCTTTCTTCTTGGATTGAAACCGCTCAGAAATTAATTCATTTTTCAGCTTGCGCTTAGCTGAAGAAGAAGTCTTCCCTGGCGATTCTGAGGCCGCTGAAGTGTCTTCTTTGCCATTAGACTGATCAGGTCCATGAGGAAGCTTTCTACGTTTTCGTTTCAAGACCCAATTTCTGTTTATCATTTTACTAGGTGACGAACTGTCTTCCTTCATCTTTAGACCTGGGTCTTACAAACGTAGTCAACAGTGACAGCAAGCACGTCAGGAACAATGGATTAGTCAACACATCAGAGCTTCTACATGCATACTTAGGCACCGCAGCTTCCAGAAAAACACTGGCACACAACTCTAATTTAATAAAGTGTTTGAAGCAAAAAGCATAAGATTAGCACAAACGCAAACAAAAAACATTAACATAAAGAGAAAAGGTATGGTATATATAAACTACAGAAGCTCTATCAAGGATAATGGATACAAGAGACTTACCAGAGTAATTGTTAGATTCAGCAGGGATAAGCAAATTTAAATTCCTAAAAATGAATTCTTTATCGGCTACCACGGGCCACAGTGACAGCTCCCAAACAACTCAACCTTAGCACCTGCTACAAAAGCATAATTCACTTCAGTATGATATTGGATTAACATTTATAAGGTACATTGCCGGACGCCAACTTTGTAGCAGCATGGGATAACAAGATAATCTAAACACATCGAAGAACTAGCATATATACTGCAACATTACTACAAAACCAACACACTATACAACCGACAATCGAGCAATTCAACCATCTTTTCCAAGCTACCACTTTCAAATGCCAAACGCAAACTACCATAAAATTAACAATCAAATCAACAAAAACTTAAACATGCAAACACATTCAGCTGCAGCTAAACACAAACCCCATTTCAACACCTATTAATAACTTATTACACAATCTAGATTCTACAAAAACCAAGATTCCACTAAACAAGAACACCCCACCATTTTCCACCACAATCAAACCTCAAAAAACACAATCTTTCATCAATCAAACAAAACCCACATCAAAACCAGCACAAAAACATACACGCGCAAGTTCCTACTCACACGAATTCAAAAAACCTAGATACAACCAACCAAGAAATGAGCACAAAAACAGAGAAATAAAGACTGCCAAGATGAATTAAGAAGCTTACCAATCAAGTAATGGATCAAAAACCCAAGAAACAGAGCAGCAGTATGAGGCAGCTGGATTGGGAGGAAGAGCTGGGGAGGTGGGGGGAGGTTTAGGGCATGGAAGGCAAGGCTGTGGGAGATACGAGAAGGAGAGAGAAAGCGAATGGGAGACAAAGGAAAATAAATAGGGTGAGAGGAAAGAGAGAGTTTTTGGTTTTTCCAATCTTATTTTATTTTGCTTCTCAAATTTGTTTTTCTAGAGAGAGAAAGCATACAAATACGGATTCGCCGGTGTCATGGGGACGGGGTTACACTCTGACATGGCAGGAGAGAGAGAGAGAGTTGGAGATAGAAAGAGAGAGGAAGTAGTGCGGGTACTTTCTCTCTCCTCTTCCCATCTTGTTCTTGGTTTTTTGGTTTTGGTTTGGTGATGTTGTTGCCATCTGATTTAGTTGAAAGCTCACCACCACTCAAAACTCGCCACGCGGCGGATCCAGAGACTCTTCAGCACTTTCTCTCACTGCCCATACTCTTCCCTTTTTCCCTCTCCTTCCCTCATCACACCTCTGCTTTTTCCCTTCCCCTCCATTCCTTCCACCTCCACAACTCAACCCTCTTCTGTGTTATGTAATAGCTTTTAGAGAGAGAAAGTTCTAAGAGAGAGAAGAGAGAGAGGGATGTCATTCCCTCTCTCTGTATTTTCCATTTGCATGATCAATTCGCTAGCTGGGTTTTTTTTTTGAACGGGGGTGGCTGTTTTCTTGTTTCCAAAACTTTCTTTTTCTTCCTTCGTTTGCAGCTTTCTCTTTCATACTTTTTCTTTTCTGCTCAGCATTTTTTGTTTACTATATTTTCGGTGAAATCTTTAGCGTAAAAGTTTGGTAACTCGGATTTGGCAGTGCTTGTTTGAGGAGCTAAAAACAAGATTAGGGATATTGAACCAAAAGAGAAACAAGGTTTAGGGATGAACATCTGTATACAATGGAATTGGACTTGCAAATTGCATTAGGCAGGTGGTTTTTTACTTGATTTGGGTACAAATCCAATTATAGATTTTATTTTTATTCAATTCATATCTCACAATTAAGTGTTTGTGAGAGACTTGCTTTGTTGTTTAAATTACTTTGGAGATTCGATGTTGAAGTGGGTTTACGTTATGTGGTGAGTCGTATTTATGAAGTGTGCCGCTTATATTTGGATTGGAGCGCGAGAGCATACTGAGCGCGAATAATTCAAAACTTACAGTTAACGAGACTTGTCGTTATTATCAATTGTTAGGGGTTTGTCATTCTTTTTCCTTTTAAACTACTTTTGAGATTTGGTGTTGAAGTACGTTTACGTTATGCAGTGGGTCGAATTTATGATGTGCGCCGCTTATATATGTTTTGAAGCACGAGAATACACTGAAATAGCGCGAATAATTCAAAACTTACAGTTGACGCGACTTGTCGTTATTGTCAATTGTTGGGAGTTTGTCTTTTTTTTCCTTTTAAACCACTTTGGAGATTCAGTGTTAAAGTACATTTACGTTATGCAGTGGGTCGAATTTATGATGTGTGCCACTTATATTTGTTTTGGTGCACGGGAATACACTAAAAGAGCGCGAATAATTCAAAACTTACAATTGACGCAACCTATTGTTATTGTCAATTGTTGGGAGTTTGTCTTCTTTTTCCTTTTAAACTACTTTGGAGATTCGGTGTTGAAGTGCATCTAAATTATGTTGTAAGTCGTATTTTATGATGTGTGCCACTTATATATGTTTCGTAGCGCGGGAGTATACTGAAAGAGCGCAAATAATTCAAAACCTAAAGTTAACGAGACTTGTCGTTATTGTTAATTGCTGGGAGTTTGTCTTCTTTTTCCTTTTAGTAACAACAAGAGTGACCGTTATAGCGTAACAAAAATCACATCGTAGTAACAAAAACTACTTACTAAATTAGTATTGCTATCTTTTCTTACGTTACAATTGATCTATACCCAATTCGTGTCATTTATATTAAACATTTGGGCCTTTTTCATAAACCTAAAACATAGGTAGAATTCAAAGACAATTTGATTTATTAAAATTCAACTTCACCAAGCCATTGTGATTTAATTTTTATAGAAAATCATTAAACTGTTTTTCCTTGTTTTTCCAATTGAAAATTTAAGTTGTTACAACCCTTGAAGGACATAACAAGGATTAAGCTAAGTGATGAGGGATATCAACTAAAAAGGACAAGTTTAGGGATGAAGATTCGTCCAATGGAATTGGACTTTCAAATATGCCATGCTGGTGGTTGTTTACTGATTTGGATACAAATCCAATTATAGATACCTTCCTTTTTAGTTTTCAAATCACATCTTACGATTAAGTGTTTGCGAAACACGTGTTTTGTAGTCTAGTAGTCTAATTACTTTTAAGATTCGGTGTAGAATGACATTTCTGTTATGCATTAGATCGTATTCACGATGCGCACCGTTTGTGTATGTTTCGAAGTGTAGGAATACACTAAAAGGGCGGAAAATATCTTAAACTTAATGTGAACAAGACTTGTCGTAAATGTGGAGTTAAATATTGTTTTTTCTTTCTACATTGACAAAAGCGATCATGACACCATAACATAAACGCATAATATTACAGAAACTACTTACTAAATTTGTACTCCACTATTTTTCTTAAACTACAACAGATCATATCTAATTCTTGTCATTATCTTAAACATTTATGTCTTTCTTTAAACCTCAAACATAAATAGAATTTCAAAGACAATAAATTCATAGAAATTCATCTTCACCAAACCATTGTCATTTTTATATAAAAGCATTAAACTATTTCTTCCTTATTTTTCCAATGAAATTTACAACCTTAAAAAAACAAGTTTAGGCATGAATATTGTGTCCAGCGGAATTGGACACTCAAATATGCTATGCAGGTATTTGTTTACTGATATGGATACAAATCCTCTTTTGTTTTCAAAATTAAGTGTTTGTGAAATGCTTGTTACGTTGTCTAACTACTTTCGAAATTCGGTGTGTAAGTGTATATAAATTTTGTGCTAGATCGCATTTGTAATAAGTGCAGCTTATATATATTATGAAGCACGAGATACAATAAAAGAGCGCGAATAATCCAAAACATGTCGTTATTGTCACTTGTCAAGATTTTTGTTTTCTTTTTCCGTTCTTTAACGAGAAGAATGATCGTTATAGCGTAATCACAACAGATGAGAACAAATAAACTATTTACTAAAATACAATAGTTCACACCCAATTTTACAAAATAAAAACTAATAAAAATAGCTTGAAAACTTTAAGTTTTAACGAAAAAGACAAAAAGTTGTTGTAAGTGAATAGTATCAGGATTGACTTTTTAGAGTAAAAATGTGGTTTTTCGTTAAAGTGAACAGTACCGGGAGTTTTTCGTTAAAATTCCATTTTTAAAAATCATAAACACGCACTTAAGTGTTGAGAAAATATCATATTACACACTTAATTGTTTGTCAAACACTTATTACGTTGTTTAACTATTTTCCAAATTCAATGTAGAAAAACGTTTGTGTATGCGCTGAATCACATATATAAGGTGCCTTGGATCACATTTATGATGTGTGGTGTTCATATGCGGGAGTACATTGAAAGAGCCCGAATAATCCAAAACGTAAAGTTAACGAGACTTTACTTTATTGTCATTTGTCAAGAGTTCGTCTTCATTTTTATTTCAACAACGATAAAAGTGACCGTTAAAGCATAACAACAAAGCGACTGTTAAAGGCTTAATGTGTAACAACAACACATCGCCTTAATAGAAACTACTTACTAAAAACATCTAAACCTCTTGTACTTGTCAAGGTGCTCATTGTTGAAGCTTTGGCCTTAAAAATTGAACTTTCATACTAAATGCACGACGCAATAAGAAAATTCTGTTGAAGAGTATTTCAGGATGCTAATTTTTTTGATGACATCTTAGCTAATTTTATAAACAAACTAAGACTGTTTTTCCTCCAAAAAAAAGTTTATTTATTTTTCTTTATTTTTAAAATAAAATAAAAAAATAAATAAACCAAATGGATCAAAGGTTTGGGTTAGGGGTGTGCTATCCACACACTCTATTTTACTTTTCACATACTATTGATAATTTTTGTCTGTTAATTTTTTTCAATTCATTCAATCTGACGGTCAAAAATAAAAAAAATATGTAAAAAGTAAAATGTAACGTGCCACACCCCTTTAGATTTTTGTTTGGCTACATAAGCCCAAGTGCCCAACCCGCCAAAAGTGCCAAGTCGTATTTCCCACCACACAATTTCAAGTCCACAGAAAACGACACCACCCAAAAACTGGTGGTTACCAATTAACGGTCGAAAATCCAAAAATACACTTCCACTCTCTCGCTATCTCTCTCACTCTCTGCTTTCTCACTCCCTCTCACAACCTCCATGATCGCCTGCAAAGCTTCAAACCCTAACCATGGAGCTCTCTCCCCACTCCACCCTGCCAAAAGACCCCTCAAACACGCCCCAATATACAGAATATGCCACACTCCCCACACCACCACCACCACCAACACGAACAACAATTTGTGCGTGGTATTTTCGTCCTTAGCAGATGGACCCAGATGGAATCAGTACCACCAATTCACGAACGGCGGCAGCAAGAATGGCAGCAGCACCGTTTACAAGAAACCCAGAAACGCGGAAGAGGCGGAGGAGGAAGGAGGAGGAGGAGGAGAGAGGAAGGTGCAGTGCGAAGTGGAGTTGATTTCGTGGAGGGAGCGCCGAATCAAGGCCGATATTTTGGTCAATGCCGATATCGATTCGGTCTGGAACGCTCTCACTGATTACGAATGTCTGGCTGACTTCATCCCCAATCTTGTTTCCAGGTACTAACGCCTTCAATTTTTCGGTTTTAAAATTTGTTTTGAAGATTTGATTTTTATTAAGTTTATGAGTGACCTTTTGCTTAATGTTTGATATCAGCCGGAGACTACCATGTCCGCATCTGGGGCGTATTTGGTTGGAGCAGAGAGGCTTGCAGAGGGCGCTGTATTGGCATATCGAAGCTCGGGTTGTTTTGGACCTTCAAGAATTTCCTAACTTAGTGAGTGTGTCTAAATTGAACCCAATTTTTGGATTCTTAATGCTGTTGTTTGTTTCGAGATGCAGTTTAGTCCAACTGGCTCCCTTGCACCCGAGTTTGAACCCCTCCTGGTAGAGTAGTTTAGAATATCGCCTTGTCCAAGATAAAATGATTACCATTTGGTTCAATTTATGGTTATGTGGGTTTGATGGTGTTGTTTAATAAGCAAAGTGAGTTGCTTTAAAGTTCTTATGTTTGCATCTTTTGTTTCGTTGCACTTTGTAATTTGAAACTTCTGTTCATTTTTCAGAGTCATAATAATCGTGAGCTCCACTTTTCCATGGTTGATGGAGACTTCAAAAAGTTCGAAGGCAAATGGGCCGTTAGATGCGGGACAAGGTAAGGATGGAGTACTTGGTTTGTAATCTTAACTGGTTGTACAATGTGCTTGCGTTTTGCCTGCTTCGCTGTATCAGCTATTGAAGTTGCGTTTTATTTTCTAATTTTCTAATTTCCTATTTTCTCACTGATGATTGCAGGTCATCATCAACAATTTTATCATATGAACTTAATGTAATACCAAGATTCAACTTTCCTGCCATTTTCTTGGAAAGAATTATCAGATCAGATCTTCCGGTGAATCTTCGGGCCTTGGCTTGCAGATCA